TTTTTTTAAATTCTCATTAGCTGCAATGAATGCAAAGCAGTGTGTTATAGTGGACATGAAGCTGAACCTGCAGTCAGATTGATATGGGTTTCAAAACCTGCCTCTGACACTTATTAGCTGTGTGACTTTGAACATCCTTTAACCTCTCTGGACCTCAAGTGATTCTAAGATTCTAAATTATAGCAAGTTATAATCTGTGTATGCAAAGGCCTCTCTGATCACACATCCTTGATGTGTTGATGTGACTGAAGTAGTTTCACTGAAAACTATAATGTGGGAGATGGAAGACACTGGATTAAGAGAGAAGAGAAATGAGTGCTGGTTATGATTGTTTCCTCTCTACAGGGATTTTTTCTTAGTTATGTAAGGAATTTGAAATAGAAGGTAATGAATTTCCCTTCCAGTTCTCATTTTCTTTGAAAGAGTTGATTGTACAATTTTCCCATTTTTTCCTCCTACAAGTATAGCCTCCTCTTGACTTCTTTTTAAAAAATCATTCAATGAAAGCTTGATGTTTACTATCAAACAATAATAGCTATTTGAAAATAAGCATGTCAGCTGGTTATGATTCTTCTCCATGAGTTTCTCTAAAAAGGATTCTGCTTGAAGAATACTTTGGAAAGTCTATTGATTTTTGTAAAGTTAAAAGCCAGGTAAAATTCAATGTGGACAGAGATCAGAAGAAAGAAGTAAATTTTAGATCTAATACAACTCGACATTGAATTGGCCATTGCAACAGTCTTCGGTATTGAACATCTACTACGATTTTGACATGCAAAAACTGTAGGAAAGGAGCATTCCAGGAGAAAGTGAAGCATAAACCAAGGCAGAGTGATAGAAAAACAATGGTCTTGTCAAGGAAAGAGTGAGTAACCTGAGTTGGCTGGAGGACAGGCTGCAAAAAAGGTAGCAGAGCAGGAAAAGACCAGCACTACAGTATGTCAAGAGGCCAAGAAATGGGCCCTCTCACCAATGTGAATGCTGACTTTAGGAGTCTGGATTTTATAGTATAGACACTGAGGAACCATGCCAACGTTTCTGAGAAACAAAAAGAAGCTACAGGATCATTTCCCCCTCTTTCCCTTCCCCCAAACTGGCTTATAACAGCAAACTCACACACACTTTAAAAGGCAGATTAAGTTTGTTCCATCAGACAAGACGTGAAAAAAAAATCACAGTTACAAATTCCATTTGCTGTAATGAATGGAAGAGCATGAGTAGCAGGTTAAAATGACCTTGCGAAGGCAGCTTCAATTAGTGTGTCATTTTGATGTGGAAACTGACTTCTTTAAAAACTCTAAGGAAAAGAAGGCATGATGGGGGAAGCAATGTTTAAAGCAATGACCACTGAGTGTGCTTTGGGAGGCAAATAATAAATAAAGATTGAAAGAAACCCTGATGTCATCTATCCTCTGAGACTAATTGTTCAACTTAAGCAGAGTGCAAACTCGGGTTTCTGTTTCTAGGTTTGGGGTTGTTTCACTCCTTTATTTAAAGCGAAGTTTAAACGACAATGCAAAGGATATAACAGAAGAGGGAAAAAAGAGACAACTCTTTTCTAAAGGGAAACTCTGGGATATGTTGCCAGGAGGACTGACCTGTAGTAGAATGAGCACTGAGGGGAGGATGAGGAGACTGAGTTTCCAGTCCTAGTTTGGCAACAAACTCTGGGAATTTGGACAATTTACTTCCTCTTTCTGGGCCACAGCTGAGATTAGAACTCTAAGCTTACTTCTAGCTCTAATGTTCTTTGGTCTGTAGCTCAAATATTCCATGTTTATAAGGTCCTTACCAGCTTACGTTCAGTGTTCTAACTTTCCATATTCTAAGGCCCCTTTTCTAACTCTAACATTTGAGAAATCAATGTAATCTAGGGTAGAGTCTTTGTTTTAAGAAGCCCAAATTTATGGCACCCGTAAGCAGAGGCAGCTAGTACAGCCAGTCATGGGATGTGAAGCTGTAGAGTTGGAAGGCCATCAGAGGTCATTTAAGGCAACCCCCTCATTTTAAAGATGAGGGAACTGAGGCCCAGAGAGGGTGACTTGTATACTGGACTTGAACCAGGTACTCTTGCTCCAATCATCGCTCTTCCTCCTTGCCTTTCCTGTAAAACTGCTGATGGCTTGAGATGCATCCCGGAGGACAGAAACAACCCATCCTAGCTGAGGAAAAGGTACTTGGTTATGATTTTGAAGTGATCCTAGAGTACTGCTGTAAACGGCAAGCATTTCCTTTGTTTTGTTGTGGCTTGTTGTTTTCCTAGGTCCATAGGGCCAACAGAAGTAGCAATCATTTTTTAATTAATATCATGAAAAACATAGCACCTTCTTAATCACAACAAGATTACCCATAAAATTAATTTGCCAACTTTTAATGATTGTATTCACAAATAAAGCATGAGCCTAAGGAGCCAGACAAGAGCCAGGTGCCAAGGAGGAATCAGCCAAGGTCATTCTAGATGCTGAGTGGGATGATCAAGAAGTTTAAAAGCTCCTGCTCAAAATGCCAAATATACAGAGTGTAACTGTAAGGCTAAACTGCTTTTCTCATTCATACAATGGTAAACATGTTCCTCTTTTCCTCTTCTGTTTTTCTCAGTGAACACACAGATGTGGAAAATATTAAGTCTGCTTGTGTTGTCTTTGTCACAATGGACTCAATTCTATCGTTGCCTTATGTCACATAAGCACTTAATCATTCCTTCTACTGTCCAGCACACTTAGAAATAAAAATAGAGGGAATGAAGATTGTGTTGAGGCAAGGTATCCATTCCTGCTCGCCAACTCCCAGTCAATCTCTACCAGGCATTTCTTACCTTCCAAACCACAGACTGTCAAAGCCTGAAGGGATCTTAGAATAAGAAATGCTAAAACAGAGAGCACTGAATGTTGGAGCCTGAAGGGTTCTTAGACCATATGTTGCTAGATCAGAGTATAGAGTCTCAGAGCTAGAAGGAACCTCAATAAGAATTTAGTGCAACCCAACTATTTAGGAATAATAGGATAAGGGAATTATTAAGATAAGGAAAAAGCCACATAAGGAAGTGAAATGAAATGCCCCAAAAGACACGATTAGTGACGGAAGTAGATTAAGGGACACAAGTCTCTTTACAATTTTTGTCAAGGCTTGCCACTTATGGCTTCCAATTGTCTTTGTTTAGATTTTTAACTCTTCGGATTGCAAAGGAATAATGGGTTCTTAGCATTGTTTTACTACATGAAGATCTGAAAGTTTCTTCTTTAGAGATTTTGAAGGGTATCTTATTTTCTTGGGAGAGAAGTGGAACATAGTTCTATTTGGAGGCAGGAAAATGACCATTTTGTGCCGTCTATACCTCTGATTTTACATGTATAAATATGTATACACATGTATGTACACACACATATATACATGTGTGTAGAATATTAAATATTACACATAAATAAAATTGTATTTTCTATATAAACATGTATATGTAGCTATTACATATGTGTCTAGATAGTCACAGAACTACTTCTGATAATAAAATGGAAATTCCTGTATTGAAACTCATGTGTGTTATGTGCTTACTCTTATAAAATGTCTAAGGAATAAAGTTTTCTAGATATTCAACTCTTTGGATTAATCCATCCATGGATTACTAATATTAATGAATCAGACTACATTTTAGCATAGACATGGACAGAGAGCTAGATTTGGAGTCAGGAAGACCTTTGTTCAAATCCAGTCTTAGACACTCATTAGCTGTGTAATCTTGTCTCCGTCAGTTTGCTTATCTGCAAAATAAGGTTAATAACAGCACCCACATCACGGGGTTGTTATTAGGATCAGATGAGATAATATATATAAAGTTCTTAGCAAATCTTAAAGTGCTTTATGAATGTTGGCTATTGTTAGAGGCTACATGGTACAGCTTAGAGAGGGCTAACCTTGGAGTCAGGAAGACCTAAGTTCAAATCCCATCTGGACACAAATTAACCATATGATTTTGTATGAGATAACTTAAATTCTGAGGGCCAGAGGAGCTCTCTACAACTTGAAGTTATCTATGAGCTGCTGATTATATTGGTAAAGGCAGCCTTCTATGCCAATGAAATCCCACATATATTCTAAAAGTGCCTCTAATATAAGTCATTTTTTATGATTCATGAATCACTTAAGGGTCCTGTAGATTCTATTATTATTGTCATTATCTCATTCATTTCCTACATGCCTGTTATATACAGAACACTAAGATACACAAGATGAATAATACACAATATCTATGCATCAATGTGGTTAAGATCCAGTGGGGGAAATAAAACACATACACATTTTTTTTCCAAAAAGCATAATGGCTATATCTGTGAAATCATTCATGTATGGGATATGAGGAAACTCCTGAGGCAACCAATACTGACCAAAAGCTTCTCTATATCACACAGTCTTAACCTTCCTGGTCCTCAATTTCCCCAACCGTAAAATGAAAGGAATGAACTAGATGACCTCTGGATGTCCCTGGAGCAAGAGGTTAAGTATCTTGTCCAGGGCCATAGAACAAATATATGTCAAGAAGCAGGGAATGAAGCCAGATATTCCTGACTTCCAGACCAGCTCCTATATACTTTTAATTACTGAGAAAAAATAAACCAAATTGAACTAAAAACAAACCAAAAAATCTCCCGGGTTAGATCATAAAGGCAATGGAGTACAAAGCACAATCAAATCAGGAGGGAGGAAACATTTCTGGGAGGTATGGGAGCAGCAGGTCTCCAAAAAAGGCTTTTGGGAAGCAAAAAAAAAAAAAAACCAACATTTTAACTGGGCTGCATGAACACTAATTACCTTTGTACAGAAATATGAAAATTTTTCTGCCATTTATTTGGAATCTATGTAAATGGGAATCTACAGTACTTAGGTCTTTCACCTTGGTCATTTTAATTGATAATTTAATGTGAGAATTTTTTTTTTAAGCATCAGCTGAAATATTAGTGTCAAAGGAAATTAATTCCCTGGCTGGCTTGTTTTTTTCTCTGAGGCAGATATTGATGAATGTACAGAGGGAATCATTGAGTGCCACAACCATTCCCGCTGTGTTAACCTGCCAGGGTGGTACCACTGTGAGTGCAGAAGCGGTTTCCATGACAATGGAACCTATTCACTTTCCGGAGAATCCTGTATTGGTAAGCACCTTTCCTCCACGGATTTTTTCTTTTTACCCTGATCATGTCAGACTAGGTGGCCTGTTTTGCTACCATCCTTAATGAAAAAAGTTACAGCATAACCAGCTATGAGAGAGTGAAGGGCAGTACTGTGGAAAAAGCATTCGCTTGGGTCAAAGGGAATAAGTTCAAATCCCATCTCTGAAGCCTCCTATCTATGCAAACTTGGGCAAATCACTTAACTTTCCTGAACTTCAGTTTCCTCAAATGTAAAAGGAGAAGGTTGGATTAGATGACCTCTAATATCTCTTTCAGTTCTAAATCTATAAGCCTGTCATTTATTAAATTCATTTTATCTTATATAATAGGTAGCATGCTACTACGGATGGATAGCTCACTGGCCATCTTTCCTCAGACTCTTATTAGCTAGGTGTAAGGGTAAATTACTTCATATTTTAGAGCTTCAGGTGAAACATGGTTAATGATACTGGCATAATATGTCAATCAGAGTTAGCCATGGTAGACTGGAATGAATGCTTGATCCGGGGCAAGTCAGAGGAACTGTATGTGAATACAAATGCAAATGACTACTTGTGGGGCTCCCGCAACTCAATGAATCTCTTGGAAACTTAGTCTTTTCTTCTGTAAGATGAAGCAGTAGGAGTAGGGGACCTCTAGATTCTCCCTCAGTTCTTAATCTCTGAACCAGTAGTCCTAAAGAGTTGTCTAACAATGTAACACCAAACCTTAAGTGACTTGTCCTGGTTCACCTGGCTATTGTTAGAGTCAATAATTTAAACCCATGTTTTCCAGACTCCATGTCCTGAACTCTCAGAACTACACCATGCTGTTTTATCTATAGTATGAGAATAATACTGGTATGACTTAGATAATAGGGTTGTTGGAAAGAAAGTTTTTTTGCAAATTTAAGAAACTATGGATGTGAACTGCTATTAGAGTTGTCATAAAATTTAGGGGATGTGGAATATTCTAATTTAGAATGAAAATAAGGAAGCTGGAAAGAGAACAAAAGGTTGTCTCACCCTCTGGCATTTGTCTTAGAGAACCAGGAAAGAACACTTTCCCACTTGGAGATTTACAGGTAGATATGACACAGTATCATTACTACTGCCATCCTTTCACTGCACTGACCGTGCAACCCAAGTCATACTTTACATGAACCTCAAACTGCTTTTAAAAAGTTAGTTCAATGAAAAACATGGCTGTGTGATCCAGCAATGACATAGATGAATATCAAGGAGTTTGAGAAAGCCAAACCAACATTAATAATGTTAACAGCATCCTTTAATCCTTGGGTTTCTCCTCCATTCCTTGGAGAGAAAAACATGATGGATGGATGAATCTTTTCAGCATTTAACAGAAAGAGGCTAAAGGCTGCTCCCTCCAGCTATACACCACGCTGCCCCTCACAGTTGTGTAAAAATCAGAGGGTTCTTAATTATTATTTGATTCATTTGTTGTATGTGATAAGCATTTCTTAAATTCATGGAATGCATGGGAGGAGACAGAGGAAGAAGGATCTAGTTAAGCCAGTATTCAAAGGAGCAGGCATTTTGTCTGTATGGGAAGCTATTCTTATGGCAAATTCTATCACTGAGATGGGTCATAATCCACATGTAATTTAAGAGACAGATCCTAGGGAACTGCTTAAAGCAAACGGGAGATTTGATTTTGTCAAGGGTCACACAGGTAGCTACTGTCAGAATGACACACTGAACCCAAGTATTCCTGTGTCTAAATCCAACAAGCCACACAATGTAACATACCAAATCTCAATTAGTAAGGAGAGCCCTGGGTTCCAGCTATGTCACCATGGGCACGTCAATGGAACATTCAGATTAATCAAGGGCTAATTCACAAACATTGTAGCATCAGGTCTAAATGTGTTATTTTACCCTTCTACCTCAGTATATGATACTGAACATAAGTATTTTTTTGATGACTGATAATCTCTAGATTTTTAGCTGTATGTAAGGTAATGTGGGAAGGATTAGAGTAGCTAGGTGGCTCAGCGTATAGAGCGTCAGGTCTAAAGTCAGGAAGACTCATCTTCCCGAGTTCAAATGTGGCTTCAGACACTTACTAGCTGTGTCATCCTGTGTAAGTCACTTAACCCTGGTTGCTTCAGTTTCCTCATCTGTAAAATGAGCCATAGAAGGAAATGGCAAACCACCCCAGTATCTTTGCCAAGAAAACCCCAAATGGGATCATGAAGAGTCTGACAGGACTGAAAAAATGACTGACTGAACAACAGGGAAGGTCTGAGACTTTGGGAGGGAGTCCAGCACAAACCTTGGAATGTATTTATTTGTACTAAATTTGTACCATAGGACAGAGTAAGAGGTGCTTTTCTAGACATTGGTATCAATTTTCTGTGTGACTTTAGCTAAGTCAATTTATTTTCCTTCATTGTGTCTATTTCTCCATTACTAAGAAGGAGACATTTGTCTACTTCCTTCTCAGAGTTATTGCAAAAAATAAAATGTTTATACTATCAGTAAAAACCCTTTTGTAAAGCATAAAACTCTCTAAAAACACTAGATATTTTCTATGAGATTACATTTTTGAATGAAAGATTTTTTTTTATTTTAAAAAGGAATACAGCAATGTAACTGGGAGGAACATAGTAGACAAAAGAAGCACACTTGAATTAGATTATGGTTTTAGTTAACAGTATTCTGCTTAATTAAGGAGTAAACTCTGAAGAAACTAAAAGAGAAAAATCCAATCCCTTTCTTCCTTGAGAACAAAATTTATAGGTTTTTCCTTTTGTCACTGAAACCAGACTGACGACACGTCCCTACCAGGGAGGGAAGTACAAAGCCGTCAATTAAAATGCGTATCTGATACTAACAGATGATGCTAACCATGATCTGTCTTCATCAGGGTAATTGTTCATTTTGTCTCTTGATGGTGGCTTGAAATACCAAAGCTCTGCTGAACTTGTAAATACTACGTCACAGTACCAAAAGCCGATTTATCTGTGTCTTGGAATCAATGCTAAGAAGTGATAAAAATGAAATATTAAACAGTGAGATTTATGCATTTGTCCGTTCCTGTGACACTGGTGGGTAGATGTCCTAAGTGATTTTCTAACCCAACTCCATTTTATGGATGAAGAAACTTTAGCATAGATAAAGTTGCCTGAAGTCATGCAGGTAGTAAACATCACAGACAAGATTAGAACTCAGGTCCTTTGACTCCAGAAACACTGTTTTTTCCGTTGTATCATAATGACATGTTTTGCTTGACTCCCTATTTGTTAAAACGGAGGGTTTCTATCTGGAGAAGTAGGTGTGTTAATGGGTGATAATAAGTAATTTGGTCCCCAATGATGCCACCCTCAAGCCATCAGCCAAACTGCTTCAACAGAGGACGTTTAGTGCCCATGTGATAGTTTGCTCAAAGGCAGCAGCAGTCCCCCTGCTCATAAGAGGGCACTCAGCGTCAATGCTCTTTAACTATTCTCCTTCCCAATGCTAAAACCTTAGAGAACTCATAGAATGGTGCTACTGGTCCTCGATTCATAAATGACCTAGGAATATGAAAAAGAATATGGAATATTACTCTGAAATATTAAAATTCTAGAAATTACAATTTGTTTTTCATCCCTCATCTATGTCCAATTGGCCAATTTCATTCATAAGACTCAGAAAGACTTTTCAGTGCCCACATGATTTATTAAAAACACACAGCAAAGTGAATAGCTCTAAAGGAGGTGCTGCATAGCAAACCGAAAAGAGATTATTTTGCCTTCTCATCTCCTCCCATCTTCCTGCCACTTTCCCCAAGTGGTAAAATGATTAGGGGAAAGAGTTTAGCATTTGGAACCCACTGTGACTTATTATGCAATTAATGCCTTCCCTCTGCTGATTATTTCGTATTTATTTTGTATATTATTGGCTGCAAGTTGTCTCCCCCATTAGATTGGAAGCAGGGTCTGTCTTTTAGATTTCTTTGTGTTTGCAGTGCTTAGCACAGTGCCTGGCATATGCTAGGTGCTCAATAAACAATAAGCTGGCTGACTTGAAGAAAGGGATCATTCCAATTACTTCACACTATCTGCTGGTCCTATACTGTTCCCTTGTAATCCCAGCTCTTTAGGATCTGTCCTTGCTTGTCCTTCAATGCATTCAACCCCGAGTGCACTCAGAGAGCCATACACAGCAAGCAGCATGAAAAGGATGTAATGGAAGTGTCTTCAAGAGGAATGAAAGAAGAAATGCAAGGCTGTGAACAAAAGTACGCCTACTTGCATTTCCATCGTCTGCCAAGGGGGCCCCTGCCCTTGTCTTTTTGAGTTGCCACATTTTCCAGGAACACTGGACCCAGAGCGAGCAGAAGGCCTGAATGTGTCAAGGATGACCCCCCCCCCCCCAACTCCAGCTAAAATAATTTGTTGTTTGTATCCAGTACTAGACCGTGTGTCCTTGGGAGTCAAGACAGGTGCCAGACAGTCTGCGCTAGGCTTGTGCAGCTGGACAAGCGTCTAGTAGTTCCTGGGGGAAAAGAATGTGGCTTTTGCAGCAGCTTTGCTCCTTCCCTTTCAGAGGGGTTTTGTCCTTTTCCTGCCTTTACTGCACCTTTCTCTTCCCATGCCACGCCCCATTTGGTAAAGATTCTGGTAAATCCCCCTTCCTTTGTCCTGCTGTCATAAATATGCAAACTTCTGTATGGATGGTCAACTCTTTGCTCTGTCTTTGGGTTCCACATGCATGTCCATTTCTTTCGTAATAAGCCTAATTTTTCACATAAGTTTCACGAAGTTGTGATTGTCTGTCCACACTTCTCATTGATATATTTCCTCCAGTCACCTTCTGGGAAAAATTAGGAACACCTGTTAAGATCAGAGGTGTGTAAGTCATTCAGTCAACTAACATTTATTGAAATGAAGGGGTTTATAAGTGGACTACGGTAAGGGAGAACTGAGTTTTATTCCGACTCTCCTCACTAACTCCCTATGTGGCCTAGTGATCATAATCTCCAAACGTCTTAACTTT